CGTCATTGTTGTTTGGCGGGTCCGGGCTGGGGATTCGAACCCGCCACCTTAGGTGTACGTGGCTGGCGCCTTAGCCGCTTGAGCTATAGGCGCCGAGCCAATGTAGTTATTTTTTGACTGAGTTGAAAACCAAGGGACAGGGAAGATAAGTAACTTGCCCAGGGTTTTATAGCTAGTAAATGGCAGAGTTGAGGGTGATCACTTCTTTTCATTTTCAGCTTTAAAGTCCTGTATCACAAGAAATTCCTTCAACCCCTCCAATTCAGGCCAACCAGGATGGCTGGCTACCCTAGTTGGTGTTAAGTAAAGAATTCCAATCTAGTTTTGTCAACTTTTTAAGTTCTTACAATCACATGACACTACTGCTCCTATGAAAGACCTTGAATAGCATAGGTAAGGGGTCCCTGAATGTTGAATTTGAGTTAGATAGAGGCTTCAGTGTGGGGCTGCTAAGGTCCGTTGGAATTCTGAAACTGTTTCTCTTTTAGGATCTCTAGATCATATTGCTGTGGTAACTGCTGATGGGAAGCTTGCATTAAACCAGATTAGCCAGATCTCCATGAAGTCACCACAGCTGATTTTGGTGAATATGGCCAGCTTCCCAGAGGTAAGGCGGCCTTGCTAAAATTCCTCTACGTGGGTTTCTTTTGCAGTGGTGGAGGCTGGGTCAGGTCAGGTGGAGTGTTTCCTTCAGCTAGGAATGCACCTAGTGAGAAGACATAACAAAAGAACTTAAGGATACGAAAAACTCTCCTTGTGTTTGTAAATTCTTTTTCTGTTAAATGCAATAAGCAAGTAATTTGCATACAAAAACTGCCCCATCTAAGAAAACAATAACAGAGATGCCATGATTTGTGCTTGGCCAACGTGGGAGGGCTCTAGAAAACTGGAGCACCTGTGCCCTGTTTGTGGGTGCCTCTGTCCAGCTCCTGCTGATCATTGCCAGGCACAAAAGTGAGCCTGGTAATCAGTGTTACCTACTATTACAATTTTTATTTCCAGATGAACTAGAAATTTTTATGTGAGGTCTTTGTTCTTTAAATGTTGATGACTAATTCACTTTTTTTTTTAAGACTGAGAAAAATAAAACATATAAATGTGACAGATACTGCTGAGGGTCACCAATTTGTCACCTCTGTATTAGTATTTGGATCCTTTCAAATTAGACTGACCATTGTAGAGTATTACATGGAGCATGGTCCTTCCAAGACTAGATTGTAGGTTGCATTATATCACTGCAACCTTGAGGCTTTATGATTTTAAATTTAGTTAAGAAAGATAATTGGGCTTTTCCTTACTGGTTCACTAGGAATTGGCCTGGATGGGGAGTTCCTAGAAGACCTGAAATCATCCCATCTCTACTATCAATTAGCCTTATGACCTTGAGGAAGCTGCTTCTCTGGGCCTCTGTTTCCTCGTCTGCCAACATGAAGTGAAGGAATTGTCCTGTTCTGATTGTTCTATTTGAGTAGCTCTATCCCAGAGACATAAACCTAAGTTAGATCTGCTGAATTTGATAAACTAGGCCAGAGATAAGAGAAGGTGAACGCTCTTGCTTTGAACAGACTCTTTCAGATCAGAGGCTCAGATAGCTAATGTGCCGGGGCACACCGTGGGAGTGTTATTACCACTCTCCACTCCATTCTCCTTATTGCAGCCAGTTTTTAAAAATGTATATTGCATCAAGCCATCCCCATGCTTTAAATTTTAAGCATGTGGTTTCAAGTAATCCTTAAAAAGTGTCTGAAATCCTTACTGTGGTCTAGAAAGCTCTGCATGGTCTGGCCTGTACCTGTCTGTCCATTCTTGTGCAGCTGTCAGCCCTATACACTGCTTTAGCCACACTGGCCTTTTAGCTCCTCAGACATACCAATCCCTTTCCACCTCCAGGGCCTCTGTATATACTGCTCCTGTTGCTTGGAACTCTCTCATAGCTAATTACTACTTATGTTTCAGATCACAGCTTAAATGTCACTTTCTCATGGAACCCTTCCCTAATCTATTCAAGCTAATTTCTCCACACGAAGCTCTCTTATACAGTGGAATTTTTGTCTTTATTACACTTACTACTATTAATAGTTATACATTTACTTACATGTTTATTTTCAATTTCATTTTTACTAGATTGTGAGCTTGGAATGTAGGGATTATGTTTAATTTGTTCATTGTATCCAGCACCAAACATAGTGCCTGGCACATGGAAGCAACTCAGTACATTTTCCTTGAATAGGTGAATATTTGTCGTTAGGTTGATAAAAGGGAGGCACTCATTTCTGGTGTTACAGAGGATCGGAGAAATGGACAAAAAGGGAACTGTCACCTCTTTCTCTTTTTGGCCCCCTCTGAACCACTGTGGCCTCTCTGTCTTATTCTTCTAGGAAGCACAGGCCAATTTAGGGAATAACCTCCTAATTACACAGCTTGAAGACCTCATCAGGCAGATTGCCTTTTAGAGCCAGCCACTTCTGTTATTAAATAGCAAATGGCATTCACAGAAGAAGCATATGATTGGCTACTAGAGCATTTATGAGACCTAATTTTTCTTAGGAAGTTAGAGTACGTCTTAATTTTTCAACCAAATCATCTTTGCCATTTCTCCAAGTTGAAATTCCATGGGTTTTGAAAAAAACCTTTACGAGCATCTCAGTAGAGGTTCATTTATTCACAGGGATAGAGTGGGGAAATGTAAGTTACATTGTCTTTTGAATTCCTTTATCTCATTGGGTGTATATATTAAACAAATAGCTCTAACTATTTCCTTCCTCCAGGTTAGAAGCTGTCTATAGACTACCCAGGTTCATAACTTCAAAATGCTAAGCTAATCCTATCTATATTTATGTAATTCCTTTCTGTTTCACATGCAGTTGGCTTTCTTTCCAAATCTGAGCCCTTTCAGTGTCACTATGTAGTGACACCATGTGGCTTTACATGCATAATCTTTTCAAATGCATCGAAGACAGAAAACTATGTTGCATTTGTTTAACATGTGTCCTGCTTGATAAATGATATACAGTTGCTGCCTTCCACAAACTTGCCTGCAGCTAGCGTTAATGATGGGAAGGAAAAGAAGGGCGTAAAAACCACAGCATCATTTGAACAAAACAAGGCAAATGAGAAAAACAAAACCCTGCAGGGTCCCTTATTGCTCTTGTGGAGGGAGGAGAGCTAACATATATTGAGTGTCGACTGTGTTGCCAGTCACTTTCTGATGTTTTATTTCATGTGATCAACACAGGTACACTGGTAAATTAGGCAATATTAATTCCATTTTATAGATAAGGAAACTGAGGCTCAGAGAAGTAAATTATCTCCCCAAGGTTCCCACTGTTATGATAAAGCTCTATTCAACTTGCCTATTTGACATGAAAGCCATTCATTCACTAACTCAATGCATATTTTTTGAGTGTCTGCAAATTATTAGTTTCTGTTGGAGGTGCTGGGAATTCATTGATGATTAGGACAGACTGGGTGTCTGCTTTTGTAGACCTTATAGGGATTCACTGAAATATAAAGAAAATGGAAGGTCAGTAATTGATAAGGCACTAACAGAGTTGACTTTAATCCAAGTTGTCAAGGTTTTGTTCACTGGTCTACAAAAGTATTATCATTTTTTGTTTTTTAGCAGAGGTTAGCTTAAGAATAGGAATGGCAGAGATTGCTAACTGATCACAACCCTCTTCACTGCCTGACCCCAGACAGAGTCTATGATCTTTATCAGCACACTACTCTAACAGCCAGTTAGCCAGTGTTGTCATTTGAGAGCAACATATTTGCCCTGGGATATTGTTGAGTATCCTTCCAGTGAGGGGATAAAGTCTAAGATGAGAGATGGAAGTTTTATAGGAATGTGTATCTTTTTCTGGTCTGAATCATGAGTGGTTCAGACGTCATGTTGGGAAGCAGTTTCTGTGTTCTACCATGTCAAAGCAAAATATACTTAAGTAGACTATCTTATAAGAACTACGTGTCTCAGTGGGTTTCTTTGAAAAATGAGACGTCGATTGATGCACATTTTTTTGCATATGAAAGGACATGGAAAAGTTAATATAAAATAAGATTTTGAGGGATTATATACATGAGGTAAAGAAAATGAGTTTTTCTAATTGATCTGAACCTGATCATTACTATATTCATTGAGCAAGCTTTTACTGAGCACTTACTATATACCTGGCACTCTGCCTTGTCCTGGAAAGATGTAAATATTGAGACATAGTTCCTGCCCAGCTTGGTGTCAGTAGTGTTGTTCTTGTGCCCGCAGGAGAAGGTTGTGTGCAAATACTTGGCCCAGACTGTGAAAGGGAAGTGGTGGTGATGGGATGTTTTAGAAGTGATTATCAGGCAGTGAGAAGCCGTGGAAAGGATTAGGAGATTGGAGATTAGACTCCCCCTTCAAAGTGGAGATTCTTTCATTGTTAACTTTAGAAATCTGTGTTTTATTAAGTAAGATGGCAGTTCTTTTGCAAAGGAAAATCAATTTCATTTCTTTATCCAGCTCTTTTATTTAACTTGGGTATACCCTAATTCCCTAGACCTAGCTCCAAATTATTTTTGGCTATTTAAAAAAAAATTAACCCCCCTATGTTACAGTTACTGCATATACTGAGTTCAGAGATCTAGAAAAAATATAGACAAAGTAACAGCATGGGACTGAATCTCTAGTTTTATCTTAACTGGGCCAGTAACTGGAAGTATGATGGTTGGAGAACTCACACCATCTCTCTTGGGCTATCAAGGAGGAGCGTGTCTATGCTTAGGGATGTGACCTTATCTGAGGAGTCTCTTTTTACATAATGAAGGGGCTGTGCTAGGGTCACAAATCCCTTCCAGCTCTGATAATCTGTAGTCAGAGGTACCATTTTAAAAATTTACTATTTTAGGCAGTGGCTACACTGTTAGATTCTGCAAGTATGTACCACCTCACAAGAGTATTGATTATTCATCTGTATCTACAAGATCTGGTTTGTCTTTTTAACTGGATAGTAATACCTCATACAGATGTAGAATTAAGGCCATTAAATTTTTTTTTAGAGAGAGGGTCACACTCAGGTTGGAATATGGTGGCTGTACACAGGCGTGATCATAACTCACTGCAGCCTTGAACTTCTGGGCTCAAACAATCCTCCAACTCAGCCTTATGAGTAGCTCGGGCTATAAGTGTGTGCTGCCATGCCTGGATAATTTTTCTGTTTTTTGTAGAGTTGAGTCTTAGTATATTGCCTCGGGCTGGTCTTGACCACAGGAGATTCTTTCCATCTTTCTGTCCTTCCCAAAAGTGAAGTAAAATAAATGTGTATCAACCCCCATTCATTTAATCAGAAAGTTTAGGGAAGAATTCAAAGCCATGAATTGGCCTGTCCTGTTGATTGGCTTGGTTAAACCTAAAAATTCTTTTGAAAATGTCAGAGGCCTTATTTTCATGAATTCCACATTGTAGTGCCAATGAAAGCATCTCTCATCCACACCTTTTTCTTATTATCCTTTGGGATTGCATACCAGGTGTTGTTATAATGTTGCTTAAGTATGAAGTGAGGCACTTTGGGATGTCAGCGTACCAGTATGCCAAGTGGTATATGAGCAAGCAAACCTATCAGAGAAGCCCCTGAAAGCTGGAAAGAGGTACCTCAGCTAAATGATGCTGTCAACTCTGCCTTGTTTGAAGGCTTTATGCCTTCTTACCTTTATATAGTAAAGGTATATAACATGTTTATGTAATAACTGCTCTTGACTGGGTATTGCAGTGTGCTAGGCACTGAGCAGATGCATTGCTTGTGTTATTTCACTGCCTCTATGAAGTTTGGGTGCCACGTGATCTCAGGTTTTGAAATAGAAGTCAAGCATATTGCCAGGGTCACATGGTTATCAGAGCTGGGATTTGAACTGAGATCTTTCTGACTTCAAAGCCCAGGCTTTTAACTGCTGTACCATACTACTTTCCCTGCAGCATACACCAGCAGGTATTCATTGCACATTCCAAAGCATGAGTGAGTTTGGTGTTAGTGTAGATGTGAATGAGTTAAATTTATTTACTTATTCTAAATCGGCACTGGTATATTTTGAGTGTAAAATGTCAACTGGAATTTTTTAACATGTGAAATCTTTCATCTGTCTTTATACCAATCTTTGCAGAGGCCAACCCCCCTCCCTTGAGGATTTATTGTGGTTTTGATCTGTGTTGCCTCAAACCATTGAAATCTTTTCAAAGAAGCAGAGCTGTTTTCTTTTTAGTTTTTCTTCTTTCTTTTTTTCCTCCTGCAGTATACTGGTACCAGGAGTGGACATAGTTTGCTATTCAGCTTGATCAAAGCACTCTACACCAATGTAACTTCCTGATCTTACTGGTAACAGAACTAAATGTTTCCATGTTCTGCCAAGATGGGTTGCCAGTTATCGGCAGAGGGTTTGCATCTGGTAATAATTATTTACTAATTCTGTTTACCTTTTGATCTGGTTTTCAGTGTACAGCTGCAGCTATCAAGGCTATAAGAGAAAGTGGAATGAATCTGAACCCAGAAGTGGAAGGGACACTAATTCGGGTACCCATTCCCAAGTAAGTTTGGCTGAAATTCACGTTTTGATGAAACGAGGTGGTTGTCCTTGGATGGAAACCAATACCCTACTCTCCTGTTAGGCTAATAGTGTACCTTATCTGCACCTTTCATCCTGATACATCTTTAGTCATCTAGTTTATTGATTCAGAAATACTGAGTGCCTATTAACATAGTATGTAGTAGGTGCAGGGTATACAGAAGTAAGTTTGAGAAATTCCTTGTCCTATTGTAGTTTACATTCTGGTTGGGAAAATTGAACAAATAAATAAATTCATTCCAGACGAAATGCTATCAGGAATAAAAAGGCAGTGAGATCCACAAGAGAGTAACTTGATGAGGGTGATGGTGGTGGGGCACCTTAAGCCTGGGAGTACTCTAAGGAGGTAACATTTTTGCTGAGAGCTAAATGATGAGGAATAGCCAACCTACCGGTATTTTAGGCAGAGGGAACAGCAAACCCAAAGGCCCCAAGTCAGAAAAGACCTTGACACTTGTAATCTCTAACTTATATTCCTCGAATACAAGGTTGAATAGTTAAGTTCATGAACTAATCCTAGGAAAAGTACTATAAACCTCAATGCTGAATATCACTATTGTCACCAGATAGCTAAGGGGAATACTTTGAAGATGACCATAGTGATAATTCAGCAGTGAGGTATGTACTTTTTCTAGGATGAATTTGTGAACTTAATTGTCTGATCTCGTAGGCAGTCCTTGCTGTTGAAGCATTTTAGATTAAAAACAGAATATTATAGCCTGGTGTTGTGGTGGGCAACTGTAGTCCCAGCTACTTGGGAGGCTGAGGCAAGAGAATTGCTTAAGCCCAAGAGTTGGAGGTTGTTGTGAGCTGTGATGCCATGGCACTCTACCCAGGG